TCTAGGCTTCAGAAGACCTTGTCTCAGAAAATTGGAGTGTGGGGGATGGGCACAAAGGCCAATATGAATGACACAGTAGTTTAGGGACTTACTACCGCAGAGTCTGTGCTCCCTTGCATTTCAGCTACTGGGAAGACGGAAGATGACAATGATTTTAAAAATGGGGAGTGGTTAAAAGAGGACATTAGGGCAGGGAGGCTGCTCTCCAGAGCACAGGAAGGCTGGCATCACTGGGCTGTGGGAGAGTTTGTGCCTTGATAAGTTACACAGCTCTGTCAAGATAGTAAGTAAAAACAGTTAAAAACCAAATTGCTTAGGGTGTGGAGGGTTGAGTTCAATGGTAGAATGCTTGCCTAGCAAACACAAGGCCCTGGATTTGGTTTCTAGCATGGGGGTGGAAAATATGTGTTCAACTTGCTTAAGCAAGAGATAGGAAAAACCCAGAGACCAGAGATGACAGGCAATGAATCTTAGGGAAGCTGAGATCAGGGGTTTTAATCTATAGTGTACTTTCCTGCAAGCAGTTCTCCATTTTGCTAGAAATGGGAAGAAGAGAGGAAATAAGATTTAGTCCCAGTACTTGGGAGGCACAGGCAGGTGGATCTCTTGTGAGTTCGAGGCCAGTCTGGTCTACAAAGCAAGTTCCAGGACAGCCAGGGCTACATAGAGAAACCCTGTCTCAAAAAACAGACAAAAAAATTGATACCATCCCCACAGTCAGCCATAGTTACGTGATGGTTGCTGATACTGTGTTAACACTGCTCACAGAATCATGGTCAGGTCTCAGATGAGGAAGCAGATGAGCCTGGAACAGTGTTCTGTCACACCCCAAACACCGCCTCTTCTACACTGGCCCTGAGCACAGTTCGTGCCGTCTTTACGGCGTCACACCCTCGGCTGGAGGAGGTATAGGCCCTGGGTTCAATACCCAACAACACAAAAGTCTGAGTCTTCTAAAGTTACAGGGTAGGGGATGAACATAAATGAAGAGATTTTATTTTTTACTGTTTGGATATGTATGTTCTTCCAAGGGGCTCTTGTATTTGAGGCTTGGTCTCACTTTGGTGACACTGTTGGGTGACTGACTTCATCAACAATCGGTCCATGTATTAGTTCATAAACAAATGGCTCTTAGGGACTTGGAAGGAAAAAATAGGTCACTGAGGGGCAGACCTTTGAAGCATATCTTGTCTCAGGCCACTTCCTGTCACTCCTTGTTCCTGTACAAGATGAACACTTCTGCTCCATCCTGCCCTTCTGACATGAAGCACTGGATCCTCGGACCATGAACCCAATAAGCCCTAGTTTGTGAGTTTTCTCAGTATTTGTTACAGTGACTAAAAATCTGAATAACCACCCTCCAAAATGTAATGCTTTTACGACATGCAATCCCTTTCCTGCTGCACATGCTCAGCCTGCTGGCAGCCCGTTTTTCCAAATCAAACTGCATTGCCAAACCAAACTATGGAGAAGTGCATAGATCCCCAGCAGAAATAAGAAGTTGTGCTGGGGTCCATTAATTCAGAGATTACTGCCAGGCATATAAACTTTCTCACTTAATCCTCCAACATTCCTGTGAGGTCGTAACACCATTTCACGGATAAAAAAGCTGAGGCTTGGAGCTTAAGAATACACATGCTTTAAGAGCCTGGGCCAGGATCAGAATCAAGGGCTTTCTGGAGGGTAAAGCCTAGGCTCCAGGTTATTACACCACAGCCTCTTAGAGGACAGAGGTGGCAGCAGTGCCAGCACACAGGTACAGGGGCACCATCAGCCCACTCTGACTGATGCTGCCTTCACTTCTGGAGACAGGCTCTCAGTCTGTATCTCAGGATGACCCTAATAACCCTCAGCCTCTCAGGTACTGGGATGTTAAACGTGTGAGCCACCAGGATCTGGAAGTGCTATAACCATGGCCAGTGATAGTTGTTCTGCTTAGTGGCAACAGTGCCCATCAAACCACCTCTTACCCTTTTGGTTGTGAGCCCAGCCTTTAACAGCTGAGCCATCTCTCTTGATGAAGATAGTGACCATTATGGAACATTCCAGAACATGTGTGCCGGAGATGGGTGTGGCAACTTTGACCTGTAATTCTAGCACATGGTAGGCAGTGGAAGAACCGCTGCAAGTTTCTGCCAGCTTAGGGCAGAGTGAGCCTTTGTCTCAAAAACAAAAACACTAGAAAAATCTATAGTACTCAGGGGTCTAAGAGGATATGTACATAGTAAAAAGGACTTAACGTATCCTGGATTTTCCTCAAGGTACTTTTCCTACGAGTTAATTCTTCAACAACCAACCAGATTGCTTTCCATGCTTCCAAAAGCAAATGTCAGGAAAGCACATGAGGAATGAAAATTCTTGGGGGCAGTCCCATACAGAACACATACAATGTAAGGTATACAGCAAAGGATTCTGCTGAAGTTTAGCTCACATTTCCCCAATTCTTGGGCAAAGTAACCTTCACTGCCTTTGAAATCTGCACAACAAACCTTGGAGAAAACCATAGCTACTCTCACGTATGTCCAGCCAGACGTATGCTTATCCTCTGTGACTTTTATTCAGTCTGGAAGACCTTTCCTTCATTCCTCTAAATTTCAGAGTCTAAAGCCAAAGACCAATGAGCCACATGAGCACCTAGTTCCATGTTTAGGTTTTCCACTCATGGGAACTAGATTCTTTTTTGTCTGCTTAAGATAGGGTTTCTCTGTGTAGCCCTGGCTACTCTGGAGACCAGGCTGGCTTTGAACACACCTGAGTGCTGGGATTAAAGGTGTGCACCATCCTGTGCAGCAGGAACTAAATTTTTTAAAAAATAGTTTTTATTATGTATACAATATTCTGTATATATTGTCTACATGTATGCCTGCATGCCAGAAGAGGGCACTAGACATCATTACAGATGGTTGTGAGCCACCATGTGGTTGCTGGGAATTGAACTCAGGACCTTTGGAAGAGCAGACAATGCTCTTAACCACTGAGTCATCTCTCCAGTCCAGGAACTAGATTCTTCCACATGGGATAGCATCACTTGCCATTCCCACATGACCAACACAGTTTACATAAATTGATACATGAACCCTTGGTTAAATTATATTATAAAGAATGACAGAATGTTTCAATTTTTTTGAGGTGTATTTTCTTGTCTTAGTGGGTTTTATTTATTTATATTTATTTATTTGTTTTTTTTCAAGACAGAGTTTCATTGTAGTTTTAGAGCCTGACCTGGAACTAGCTCTTGTAGATCAGGCTGGCCTCGAACTCACAGAGATCTGCCTGCCTCTGCCTCCCAAGTGCTGGGATTAAAGGTGTGCACCACCAATGCCTGGCCTTTATTTTTTTAAAACTAGGATTTCTCTGTGTAGTCCTGGCTGTCCTGGAACCCATTCTGTCAGTTAGGGTGGCCTCAAACTCAGAGATCTGCCTGCCTCTGTCTCTTGAGTACTGGGATTAGAGGTGTTCACTATCATGGCTGGCTAGTATTGTATTGCTATTTTGAATTATATGATGCTTAATATATGGAAGCACTCAATTACTTTAAGCAATTTCTGTAAGCAGTTCCTCGGGTAAGGAGACCTGGGATGGTATTAGGTTCTTTGACATGTACAGAAAATTAAGAAGAGTGAGAAAAAAACCTCATCTCTGTGTTTCAGTGATTCCTTAAAAAATATACTCAGGCCGCATGGTGGTGGTACCCACCTTTAATCCCAGTACTCAGGAGCAGAGACAGGTAGATCTCTGTGAGTTCGAGGCCAGCCTGGTCTACAGAGCGAGTTCCAGGATAGACAGCGAGGACTGTTAAGAGAAATTCTGTCTGAAAAAAACCAAACCCAAAAGCACACAAAAAAATATGCACTTAGGAGGCAGGTGTCAGGCCACATGCCTATAACTTCCATCTCCTAGAGGGCTGAAAATTGAGGCCACTCTTGGCTACATAGTGAGACTCTAAAAAAACTAATAAGGGTGTGTCTGTGTGCTGGGACTGCAGCTCATTTGGTAAGACTTCCTAGTTTGTAGCCTGTAATTATCCTAGCTCTTGGAAGATAGAGGCAGGTGGATCAGAAGTTCAAGGTCATCCTCAGCTACGGTGAGAAATCTAGCTTAGCTTCAGGTATATTAGACCTTCTACCAAAACAAAAAGCCCCAAAGGGACCTTTCCATCTAGAAAGGGCACTGGGAATCCTTTATCTTCAGCATGAGGTTGGTGAAACTTGAAACGATTCGATAATTGGCCCAGACAACTTGTGTGTGGACCAGCTGGAGTAGAACCCAGCTTCAGCTCTTTCCATTCCTTTCTCTTATGTTCTCCTCTTCTAATTTATGACATTCCAGTGTCATTTTAAGGAGTTATTTTTAGGCGGTGCATGGTGGCTGCATGCCTGTAATCCCAGCATTCTGCCTTGAGGCCAGCCCGTGTTGCACAGTTAAGTTACAGGGCATGTTCTTTTTAGATTTATTTTTAATTATGTGACTGTGTGTGTACATGTAAGCGGCTGGAGTTACACGCAGTTGTGACCTGCCTCCCATGGATGCTGGTCTCACTATGCTGTCCTGGAACTCACTATGTAGACCAGGCTGGACTGGAACTCACAGAGATCCTCTCCCGTCTCCTGAGTGCTTGGATTAAAAGCATGCATCACTCTGTCCAACTACTGAATTATTTCCTTGGTCCTCCTATAATGAAGAACGGCCCATTTGTTCTCCCTCTGTGCTGTTCCGAGAGGAAGCAGTGCACGACTATCTTTTGGTTCTCCATCTTTTCCATGCTTCAGGACGCATGCTCCACCTTGCCCCCTTTCCCCGCCCTCCGTCCTCATCTTCCCAGGCAGTCTGGGATGTGGAAGACTTCCGATTTGAGTCTTTCTATAGTGCCTGAATTTTGAAGGGCGGAGAAGGATTTGCCGTCCTTTGCCCGTGTTTGGCGGGTCTTTGTCCAGTCGGTATGTTGAAAAATAAAGAACAAGGAAGAAATACGAACTCCGTTTTGCAGTAGTTGCCAACCCCTGGAAAAGTTCGAGTGGCCGTTCAAAAGCCTGACTCTCTCTTGTGAGTCGCTTGTAGTCCTTCAGTCTTGTTCAGATATCTGGTCAAGGAAGCGTCAGAGGAAAACACAAAGCCGAGCAGTTACTTTGAAGTGTCCTGGCTCGTGAGACTAGGTGAAGAAAGTGATTTTTTTTTTTTCTCCTTCGGCGCTGGGGTCAGAGGGGGAGCCCTTTCCAATGCAGGAAGCCCTCCCTTCGCAGCTCACCGTCTCAGCAGACACTGTGGGGAGCAGGCCTGTTTTCCACGCTGCCATTTACCCTCAGACCCCCCGAGCACCCCGGGGGGCCCGTCCTGTCACCGGAGGCTGCGATGGAACCTCCCTCTCTGTGCTCGGAGAGAGTCCCCCGGGGGTAGCCCTCCGCTCCGGAGGGGGGCACACTGGTGAGGGCTCGGCTCTGCTCCCAGGACACCTTTGTCCCTGGAGAACGCCCGGCCGGTCAGGTACGTGGAAGGCAGGCGGATGCGCTCGGCGAGATTTCCGCGCCTGTGGCGTGGGCTCTGGGGAACTGGACGGTGGCTGCGGGGAATGGCGGGCCCGGCGGCCATCGGGTGGGCACCGCGGACTCCGTGACCCCCCACCCCGCGCCGGCGCCCCCTTCCTCTCCGATCCGTCTCCGGGCAGAGCAGCCTCACTCCTCACCCAGATGTGTGGCGATCAGTGCCGGCGCGGCGGCGGGTCGCTCCGACGCTGCTCCGCGACCCGGGACGCAGCCCAAGCACCGGCTACACAAAGGCGGCTCCCG